GAGGTGGTGTAACTACTCCTTAGTGAGGATAGAGGTAGACTTCACTGAAATGCTATATTTTATTTTTCGAAAGCTCTATACTTTAGTCTACGTAACCGCTTTGGGTGGGAACAAAATAACCAGTCCGCATGGACGAAAAGAATTTCACGTGGGCAACAAGTGTCAAAATAAGAGCACGTGGCTTGTTAACTGATCGAAATACGTTGATACATTAGCGTCAAAAACTAAACCCAAATGGGCGGATGCTACCATTTCCCGCAGAGGATCGATAGTCATTCAAGAAAATAGCCTCCAAATGAACGCGATTGTTATAACAAGTAGCAACCATGTTTTGTCTTAGAGTCGACAGATAGCTTGAGTGTTTAGTAATCAGAGCTGACAAACGGCGCCAGATGACAGATGGAGAACCACTTTATGTTGGTAATAAATACTAGGCACAGGGTCGCATTGCATCTAGTGTGACATGTTACGATGTTCCGCAGTTCGGGAATGGTGAAAAATGGAGTGAAATGGGTCAAAATCATGAGAAAAAATATACATGGAACAGTCGATGTGTACTATGATAGCCGCTGCAAAATCATCGTAAAATGCCTCAACTTCTGGTTTAGCAGATGGAGGAGAAAGATAGATGGTAGCTAGCAGGAGTAGTGAGAAATACGTCAGCCATTGTGACACTAGAAAGCAAACTACGTAGTCGTAAAAACAAAACAAAAATACTACGTTTTGCTCAAAGTATTGTATCGTTGGTGACGTGGTGTGGGAAGCTGAATGGGACGGACATGGACAACAAGCGCATCTAGCGAAACTACTTCATCGTCTTTCGGCTCCAACTAAAGAGGCATCGACCAAGGCTAAACCACGGATAAGAACACCGATCACGTAAGTTAACTAGCTGTGTTCGTTGCTTAGAGTAAGAGGACGTGGCATGGATGAGAGAATTTGTCGATTGCTGCACATATATCGAGGAAAACGAGCAACGTTGTGAAACATGAACTAAATGTAACGGATAATTTACCCTGCTTCACAGTTCTTCTTATTAGTTTAGGACCGACACGTAATGGGTTACTATGTCCTTGGCACTCTACGAAGGTCTTAGCTACCAACATATGCAGTTAAACCACCTCATCAGCAATAATGATACTACCTGGACTAGCGATGAAACGCTCGAAATCAGATCGCCCAGCAAGTGGGGTACTAGACAACTGGACCTGTCGAAAATGGGAGGGAATGTACTCAATGCATCCACAACTGAGACTAACCTAACCGTTTTTGTCTCCACTTTTCCTATCCTGCTTATTCAGCCATGCGTACCTTACAGCCATACCAAAAAGGTGAGCTAAGAGGGATACGTTGACTGAATCTATCGATCCTCATTCACTTATGTCATAAATACTTTTCCTACTCAGCTTCTGTCCCTTGGTTGCCCTCATGGAAACACATCAGGCAGCAAAGTGAAGTTAACCGATTCTTCTTCTCACATCATCATCCCATTTCCTCCTATTCGCTTACGCCTAGCTTACAAGCAAACCAAAACGCCTGAGCCAATTGACCAATGTCAAGGAGGTTAGTTTCGCAGACAACGAATAAGTCTCCTATTCCATTTGTCTCGGCCAATACGTACAGCCGCTGAACTGAAAATAAGTAAACACCTCCGAATTTCACTACACCCATTTGGGACGCCCCAAGGTGTAGAAAATTTCTAGCCTAAATAAGGTGTTATGTTATACAAGTATGATTTCAGCTTTAATGTTTCTAATATCATCACACTAATGCTCTTCATCCTTTACCCAATGCAAAAGAAATTTGATTCCGTCCGTACACAGAGTACCCAATCAGGACACGGTGAATTATTCTATGCTCATTCAAAGCTTTGAACTGGATAATCATTGACGTCAAAAAGCACGATTACTATTTCTGCCTGACATTTAAAATATACTGTAAATATTATGCGAAACAATTGTAAACATTTTATCATGCTGAAATGAGTATGTCGCGTAAACCCGAGAATATACACTGGCATTATTATTATTATTATGTGCGATTCACATAATCAGAGACAGTGTTCAAGTCAATAGTCTAGCATGACAGTGTTTTTAAAAACGATGACGTGCAAGCAACCGTCGAACAGTTGGAATGGGTCCAATGTACACTCTGCATTATTTTCACTGATTCGCTTTGCACAAGTATCAGTAAGGCGTTGCAGCGTGATAAATGTCAGTAGTTTAGAGATATCACGATGATTTGCACGGAAAATCTACGACTCTTTCTGTATATGGTGACGGTTGACAACAGCCAATAAGAAAGCACCTTTTTCTCGAAATAAATGACGCCGACACGGCAAATGGCCAAAAGGCGTCTGCCACGTAACCCGGCGGTCACGGATTCGAGCCCTCATAGGAGACCGGGCGACCCACGCAGCGTGCTTCGCCCACGCGCGACTAGTGGCGGTTATGGCATCGAAGTGTCGGTATGGTGTACTGCGGATGCCTTGCCTAAATGGCGTCAATTAAAGCGGCTCGGATAGGTGATGTGTGTCGCCACCGTCCCAAAGCAACGAGAATGGAAGGTCGTTGGAGTGAGACGTGTAAACAGTACTAACGCTTGCCAGGTCCCCTAGATGATGGGAGTGTTACATTCACGACCCAGAAAGATTCAGGCGATCCAAATTACGATAATGTTATACCAGGTCACCTGAATTGCTAGAAATACCTGAAACAGAATGAGTTGACCAACTTTTTCGGTTACTGTTCCACTGTCGAACAAATTAGGACAACACTATTGTAGCCCTAAGTGCGTCGGTATTTTAGACCTCAGGAGCTCTGGCCATCCGATACCACTCTCGGTCGACTAATCAGACGACACTTCAGAGCATTAAGAGAACTCTGAAATTGATGTCTCGAAGAAGCAGTCTTTGGTGTTTCAGGCAGGCTAGACAAAACTCCAGTAATCAGTCCGTTGTTGGGACAGTCGATGCTGAGTGGAAAAGCTACCACAGGTGTTTTAGCGGTTGTGCACTGAAGGCGATTCCAGTTCGTACACAGTTACCCTAGTCCGTTCGTCCGTGAGCGCTGATGCTGAAACGCAGACTGATATTGCTGCCCCGTAGATGGTGAACGCAGTTGACGAGGAAGCACCTTGGAAGCTTAACAGCGAGCATCATATAGGCACGTACAAGAGCGTGTCCAAAATTATAGCAACTGCTTTAAACCGACCGAGAATCCTACTCTGATGCGAGGTTTCTACGGTTGATAACGATGTGGTCCATCTAAATACAGAGCAGCCAACGTTCGGTGTCCGTTGTGACTTTTGTGTGAAAATTTGCGCCGCAAAGCATTACTACTGATATATGGTTTGTGATCAAAGCACAGCGGAAGAAAGCTGTCATAAATGTCAGTATGACAAACATCGGCCCGAAACGAATTACAACGTGATATAATGACTATGACAGGCGGCCGGCTTGAGCATTTATATCACTCACAACGGGCACGATGTCCGTGCTTTCGGCACCGCGGATAAGAAAGGAGCAGCGCTTGTTAGGTTTACCTTTGATTTATTCTGAAATAAACTCGATGGGGCATAAAGTGAAAAAAGTAAATCTAGGTAGGTGTTAAGTGACTTTTGACGGAGCATCGAAGCCGAATAGCAAACGTGCGACTATTCATCGGTATCCAGTTTAGAAGACAAGTCTTCACGCACCGCTTGAAAGCGGTTCTGACCCTGCAGATACCACGAGCCATGGATTCGGTGTCAATGAAGACACGAAGTGACTAAACAGTCATTTTATTCCGTGGCTGTGTCCCGCAAGCTTGTTCGGAGATATATCATACAACAAACATGAAGGAATGTGAAGTAAAGGCAAGTTTCGGCAGCTCACTGAGTTGGCACAGTTTGCGGATACTGGAAGTTCCAACAATGGATAGTACCCGAAGTTTAGAAGATCGCCCGGGGGTTTTCCGATAGCGCGGTTGATGAAAGAAAACACAAGAAAATTCGCGAAAAGTGAGGTGGACGGAAGTGGATAAAAGATTGCTGAAAACGGCGTCAAATCAGCCCACGATAATCTCCGGGTGTGTATAGCGAGAAAGGGATTTTGTTCAAGACTCACTAACTCTACTCTCTGGTTCAACAGTCTGACCCGCAAGAGTTGAATAAATGGAGGTTAGATTAAAGGAGTCCATCAGGAGCATCTGGCCCAGTAGCCCGACCCACATGAATGAATCGTCAGCTGTAAGCCGTAACGGCGCCCCGCTGCCGCGCGAACACCAACAGTCGCGCGTGAACTGAGTATACCGGGAAGACGCCCACCCCTACGCGGATTCGAACCGGTGACCTTAAAGGTCAACAATAAGTCATGAGTGTTTTGCTTCTGTAGTACAATGGGCACATGTTAGCCTAAATTGGAAGTTGGTGGGTTCGAAACCATTTGAATTGGAGCCGCCTGGCTTGAGTGTGGATGCAGTTCTTAGATTGTGGTACTTCTGCTCTACGCCAATAGAGCTGAGCCTGCAACCAGTAACTTCTTGCCTGATACGGCAAAGGTGTCATCGATCCCTCCCAACCAAAATTTGTCTGACTTCTAACAGTTGACCTGCCTGGTATCGATGGATCTAACAATATCACGCATCGCACCACGTTAGGTTCCAGCGAAATTCTATGTGAAGTAAATAAAATAGTCAAATTCGTTGAATTGAAGAGCCAATCATAGGAGACAACGGATCAAGTGTGACAACACTCAATGACAACCCGATTGGACGGTGTTGTCGAATACGGTGCATCCCATTCCAAGAATACTATACTGATCCAAGTCTCAACCCCAGTGCATCCACTCGGAAGCCACCCAAACAGTTTGTTCATCGACAAGAATGCGAAAGACACTGATTAAAGTGGACACTATAAGATCTATTGTCAAGCACCGATAGGTGAACCGCAGTATCACGCTCCGTAGTCCCATCAGGTTTGAGAAATGTTTCATCGCTGGGACAAACAACCCGAAGCAAAAGTAGACATGCTCGATAAGTTGTAATACACCAAACGCATTCTAATAATGTACGAGAAATGAGGGGAAAACGGAAGCGGATTTGTTGATAACACTGCGGAGCAACGATGGAAACAATAAATAAGGATGAGGACCTATAGCAAAAAAAGCGAATGTTATCATTACTAGCCTAATTTTGGACACACCGCCAACACAGATTGTCGAGAAGGTGGGGAAAGAATGGGTAGAATACATAATGGTCTCCTATTAGAAATACTCACCCAGAACAATAAAATATTGGTGATGTTTGATAAATAAATGTGGAAATCAAAAATAGATGAGAAACCAGTTTGGGCTACATAAAGTCACAAAAAAGATGAGTTCCGGTGCCTCCGGCTGCAAAATATGCACTGGAAAATACGGTTCGTTAAACTAGAGACGGCATGTTTGCATGAAAGTATGGTTGTGAATGGGAACCGAATTCACGAAACAGATTGAGAATCAAATGGGGTGGGAGAGGGAGATATGAAGCAGCCTTGCAAAACAGACGATTTGGCAGCCCGGAGATGCTGAACTTGCTGCCCCTGGCATCCAAAGCAGCAGTCTGAGTTGGGTACACCTCCATGAGACGACGTGTAATGCAGCGTCGAATAACGCGAGTGCACTGAGTACTAAGACTAAGTGAGTCGCTTGGTGTGGTAAAGATGAGGACTCGATTGTCAGAGGAACTAAGTAAGGGACAGAAACAGAGTAGAGAAAATATGAGTTAGTTTAATGGATAGCTGAGGGATAGAAACCCACCTAAGCTGATGTGCCGTAATACAAAATTAATAAGGCTAGAAAAACTTAAAATAAGTAATATAATGATAAATATCATATTATGCATTCGGTGTGAGATAGTAATTGGAGGAAGAGTCCAAAAGGAAGGGGGACGGGAAAGAAAGTAACAACACAAACACCACTGGAGGAGGCTCTTCGCCAGCAAGTGTAACCAACTAAGCGTGTTCATCGTCGGGAAACACCAACCGAGGCCAACTTCGAAGTGAGAGACTTCATTCCTCTTCACCAGGTCATCGCTTGGCCACCCCTCCTCCTCTACCATCCACACCACCGGCATGCAAACAACGTATGTTGCATTAGTCAGTGGGTTAGTATACACAACACGTAGCCCAACTATCGGAGCCTGGTGCGTGAGATAACAGTGCTGCGCGGTTCACGCGCTCTTCCTGCAACAAACACATGACCTCGAACGCATTCATTGCTCGCGCGGTGTTCCCACCAGACATGAGCTAATCTGAGAAGGCAGAGTTGGTCGAAAGTAACTAGCTCGGTTATGTCTGTCTACCTGACAGGCCGAGTTTCGCAACCGTGCAAGCGGGTGAACGGACGGTTGCTATTCAGGACGAGAATGATGTCGCGAAGGTTGGAACAAAGTAACTTTTAATGTAGCAATAAAGGTTAGAGAAGAGCAGTTATAGACAGCTTTCAACGACGGCAAAGAGTGTGTAGATTTTATACTGATGAGGTTGGAAGGATCGACATATCCACATGACAGTGACAGACATGGCGCTCACTAGTTACTGACTGCGCAAGTAGTGGAGCAGAAAAGCATTAACATGGGCAGTTCTGCAGTGCGGGAAACCAAACCACCCAGTAAGTACCTGATTCTTCAACAGAAGGAAAATGCCTGCAAGACTTAGATGTGCATGCGTCTGAATAGTGAGAAGAGCTTGTTACGCATTTCAATGGGAAGTAGAACTGTCGCAGATCTGGCGTGTGCTGCACCACTACTGCATCTGGACGGCATGTGTTGGTGCATATGTGGCAGCGTCAGCCGATCGATAACGCGGATCCGACTATGCTTTATGCGAATGTTGAAAACTTGCGCATACCGGCTGAATACTGGTTAGTGGGCTCGGGAGACTGATAATCTTGGGTGGGGAAAGCGTGGTGCACAGTTTTCGTGACAGTTGAAAGCTTAGAAGGCGTCTCCCTTTAGTGTGGAGTGCACTACGGCACAGCCACTCCTTTGTGTACGTTGAGCACATAGGTCTCTCCAATAACACACAGATTATGTGCATGCTTCAGCAGTGCGCGACGGTTCCGAATCAATCGTTGCACGCAACAACATGCCAGCGGACGTTATTCCTCCCAATGTACAATGGATAAGCGATGGTCCGAATGGAGCTGAGGGTAGTGTGGTGCAGGCAACGCATGGGCCCACAGCAGCTGCAGACAACCAGTGGCTGTACGCGATCACAATAGAAGGAAAACCCGGAGATGAATGTCCTCAGTCACAAATATATTCAAAACAGTTAGTCCCCTTCAGTAGCTTGAACAACGAAATGAGAAGACGAATATTGGCAGATGCTAGCATTTCGTATTATCTCATCAGTACCAATACAATAACAGGGAAATCCTTTTATATGTCTTACAGGGCACAGTCAAGCCAATCAGATTTATGGTTGTGGTGAAGGTGACTTATGAATTCGAATCGAATGGCCGTCTCCCGTATCTAGACATTCTCATGAGTCGCAGGGATAATGGACTGATTAAACGATCTGTATACCGGAAACCAACGTGGTCCGGCCAATACCTACACTTCACAAGCTTCTCACCGATGGCACACAAGCGCGCGCTAGTAAAAACATTATTCACTCGGGCCAGACGTATCTGCTCCAACGACTGCCTGTCTGAGGAGTTTGAGCTGATCACTAAGACACTTATGGAGAATGGCTACCCAAAGCGATTCATAGACAAACATAGCCAAGTTAGACCGCCCAAGGAGATGGTGTTGACAGCCCCTAAGAAGAAGGTGTACATTGAGCTACCATTCAAGGGTAACACCGCAGCGAGAAGGATAACCAAACGCATTGTCTCGGCCATTCAGCGTACATACTGTGCTGCGGAGGCGGTAATAATCAACAGAACCCGAAAGATGCCGTTACCTTCAGTAAAGGAAGATGAACCCGTCGGCGCCAAATCACATTGTGTCTACCAATTCGTGTGTGACTGTGGTATCAGTTACATCGGCAGGACCGAACGGGTTTTAGATTTCAGAGTGAAGGAACACTTACCAAACTGGGTTCAGCGCGAAGTTACTCAATCCACCTCCGATGATACGTGCTCACGTAAGCCGCCAGCGTCCTCCATAGGCAGGCACATCTTGGCGACTCGTCACCGGGTTAATCCCTTATCAGCGTTCCGGATCTTCTTACGTCATACCAATGCACGCCTTTTACGATTTGCCGAGGCCGTCGCGATAAGCCGAATTAGACCAGCTTTGTGTGTCCAAAAGCAATTAGTTGTCAACCTGCGGTTGCCGTGGACCTAATCCCATCAACAATGATCACAACCATAAATTTGATTGGCTTGACTGTGCCCTGTAAGGCATATAAAAGGATTTCCCTGTTATTGTATTGGTACTGATGAGATAATACGAAATGCTAGCATCTGCCAATATTCGTCTTCTCATTTCGTTGTTCAAACAACTATATTCGTTGGATTCATTAAGATTAGACTGTTTAGGATGGTCACCCCAGGCTCGGAATAGGAATGGACGACTGTTACATTCCATGGGCAATGGTCCGCAGTTTGCATCCCATCTGGACGCTGTGAGACTAAAATTCCTATTATACTGATACAAACCAGCTTCTTAAACTACTGGTCCGGGGGAAACGGAAACAGCCCACATGACTGGCACGATATGTAGATGGGATTCGAATACCTTGACTACGGATCCCTTCAAGGTTTATTTTCGCTGCCCAAACCTGTCTACCCTGACCAGCGTTTGTATTTGCCAAGCTCATTACCCAAGTTGTTCTTCCATTCTATTGTGCTTATCTCTCTACATCTCGCGCGCGATTTCCCAAGGACCAATATCCATTGGCTTTTGCTGCATGCACAGTTCACTTTTCCATAACCCCCAGCACGCGGATCTACATTCTATCCTACCTCGATTCCTATCACATGTTTACTCCTTATGCTGCACCGATTGTTATTGTTTGCAGATTTGTGGCCAATCTGCTGAGTGCATTAAAGAGACCGATCTCACCCCACTTCGACGTCCATGCAACATACTCACTATCTATGTAACAATCCCATGCTATTGCTGTGCATTGTGGTGCTGCCAGTCGGTACCTCTAACGCTCTGACGCCTAGCTCGTTGACTCCAAGACCGAATCTCTTGCCATTGTAGCGGATAGGAGTTGGAAGCGTTATGGTTCAGGTATCTGGCGTCAGAACTGAGCTTAAACATCTAGAAGTCGGACTGTTGAAACCGCTAAATTACACTGTCAGGGCCGCGCAGACCATCGCTATCGAAAAGCCAAATGCTCAAGATAGTACTGACTATTCCACCGGCCTGAATGATGCCCTCACTGACCAACATTATCCACTGCTGTAAGCAGAAGACATTTTGGCCAAAAAACGATGGCACGTTTTTCGCTGAACTCGACCTATCGGATGCTCACTTACAGGTTTAGGCTGCATAGGAAACCAGAAAGCCACTGATCATCAACAGTCACCGTGATATGTTTCAAAACACGCATATCATTTGGCGTGAAGACAGCACAAGCCACTACTCGACAGATTATGGACACTATGTTTAGCGTATTGGGAGGAACGATGGCAAACCAGGATCATCAATACACGTTAGCTGAGGGCGAGAAACAGACCTCAGCTAATGTACCGCAATATAAAAAAACATAGCATACTAAAATTACACTACAAAAAGCCAATAAGCAAGTAATATAATCATCACGATCATCATTATACACGTTAGCAAGAAGTGTAAAATACCTCAGCTACTGTGCCGCAATAAAAAAAGGAAAAACTTGCAACAGTTGCGTACCAGCTGAGCAAACATCAATGGATGGGCATCGTTACGGAAAACTACCAGCCGATTACTAAGAAACAAAAATTATTACGTAAAATTATACTATGCTACGAAATGAGATCGTAGTTGGAGGAGGAGGCTAAGAGGGATGGGGAGGGACAAAGAAACTCACATCGCGAACGCCATTGAGGCCGGCTCCTAGTCATGTCAACAAGTACATCCAGCCAAACGCGTTCATCGTTCTTCGGTCCCCAACCAGGGAGCCAAGAGGCTCCGACTGAGGCCAACTTCGAAGTGAGAGCAATCGCTCGTCTCGACCAAGTCATCGCTTGGACATCTTTCCTATTCTTCCATGCACACCCCCGGCGAGTAAACAACACGCGTCGCACGAGTCGGTGGGCTGGTATGCGTAACACGTAGCCTAGCCATTGGAGCCTGGTGCGCGAAATAACGGTGCTAAACGGTTAAGTTCATTTTTCAGGGCCGTAAACAAGGAGTCGAACACGCTCGTTGCTCAGGCTGTGTTCCCACCAGATGAGAACCAAACTGCGAAGGCACTGGTGGTCGAACGTAACTAGCCTCCTTAGATCCGCTGATCTAATGGTTTGTTTCGCAACCGCACAGGAGGGTCGAACGTACCGCTGTGAGTGATGTCGCGCTGGCGCCATAAGTGGCGAAGTCTAGCAAGAGCACCTTGAGCTATTGTTATACAGGTTGTGATCTCATCTTCGATCCCAGGGGCGCTGACATAACTTCATAGGTAGTTGAATTTCTGAACGACTTCGATCTGTTCACAGCCAAGGGTCAGCGCAGCAGGCGATCCCTGTCAATCTTAGAGGAAAACTTTGTAGTTCGATGGTACAAAGCAAAGCCGGAAGTGGTTGACAGTCA